TAAGTATGTGCATGTAATAAACCCATGTCATTTTGCTACTATATGCCAAGTCCACATTAGACAAGATACTATGTTCTTTTCCATAATGCAGAGATGGCATAAGCCATTGAATCTAACACCTTACTGGAGAAGAAAAGCCACCTGGCTCAACTATGAGCCATGGAGGTACAGTTTTGGTTACTATGTTCCTGTTTATCACCAAATCTCTTCCAGAATCCAAGAGAGGATTTATAACTGGTCCAATGATTTTTTTTTTAAAGATTTTATTTATTTGACAAAGAGAGATCACAAGTAGGCAAAGCAGCAGGCAGAGGGAAAGGGGGATGCAGACTCCCTGCTAAGCAGAGAGCCCAACACGGGGCTTGATCCCATGATTCTGAGACCATGACCTGAGCCGAAGGCAGAGGCTTAATCCACCCAGGCATCCCATATAATGATATTTTTTGGTATTACAATTTTGCTTTTATCTTATTCTACTTACTAGTTAATAGAAAACAATGGTGCTATGTTTTCCAAGAAGTTTTTGCTATCTTAAGGTAATCTGAAAACCGATTAGAGAGGCACAAAAGAATCAACCTACTCTAGACTACATTACAGTCTTATTTCACCTACTCAGCTTTCAGATTTCTAAAAATCTCAACCACTTGCACATTATAAAATAGGAAGCAAGTAAAACAAAATGAGAAATTCTTTTGAGTAATGACTATTTAAAAAGCCAGCTACTGGGACACCTGGGTGGCTCAGTGGGTTAAAGCCTCTGCCTTTGGCTCAGGTCTCGATCCCAGGGTTCTGGAATCAAGCCCCACATCGGGCTCTCTGCTCAGCAGGGAGCCTGCTTCCTCCTCTCTCTGCCTGCCTCTCTGCCTACTTGTGATCTCTGTCAAATAAATGAATAAAATCTTAAAAAAAAAAAAAAAAGCCAGCTAATTTTTCAAAGGAAATCATTCTTGAAGACTCATTTAAAGAAAAAAAAAAAAAAACAGAACTTGGGTAAAAGTGAAGTTTAAAATTCTATTTATGGGGTTATCTTTTTGTTCCAGAAAACCCTGCTTAATTTTTTTTTCCATTCTACAGCAAATTAATGTTTAGAAGCTAGGTGGGAGAAAGCCACTCAATGCACTGTGAATAAATGTGGTTTATTAATACAGGCACTGCCACAGAAGATAGATGTAAAGCAGACAAGCATAATATAAAAGCACCACCTAGCCTAAGACTGATTCCCCTACCCACATCCAGACCACTGAGAGTACCACCATACTATAGCAACATAAAAAAAATAAATGTTCACAATCTCTCAGTAATTAGGAAAAGGTTAACATGCTAAAGACAGTGTTTTAAACACATGAAGTACTTAATACTTCTAGAAGAATCTTCAATAAAATGGCATTTTAAATATTTCTGGTCTCATTTAATGGCTTAAAATTGCTTAAAGGGGGCACCTGGGTGGCTCATTTGTTTAAGCATCTGCCTTCGGCTCAGGTCATGATCCCAAGGGTCCTGGGATCCAGCCAGCTCTCCCTGCCTCTCCCCGTTTGTGCTCTCTCTGTGTCAAATAAAGAAATATCTTAAAAAAGAAAAAAAGTTGCTTAAAGAACTATAGCTTATAAAGAGGTATCAAGAATTAGTTTCTGATGACAAAATTCTTCATTGGAAACTTAAATCCAAAGATAAAAATAACATAGTCTAAAATGCCAGGTTATGCAAATTTATAATACAAAGGAAAAAGCAGACCTCTTCTAGATCTGCTCTTGGACTCTGGAGGAGATTTGGTAATAAAAGAATACAGGAACCAAACTGCCTCCACAAATCTAAAATGAGCTAATAGACCTTCTTTTCCAAAACCCTCCTCAATATGCTTCATCCTCAAGGAAAAGTTTAACTTCACAGATATCTAAGCCAGCTTTATATATTTTGCAAAGGCGACCCAAATTCTCACAAAATCTTGTTTTTAAGATTTTAACTTATGGGGCGCCTGGGTGGCTCAGTGGGTTAAGCCGTTGCCTTCGGCTCAGGTCATGATCTCAGGGTCCTGGGATTGAGTCCCACATCAGGCTCTCTGCTCAGCAGGGAGCCTGCTTCCCTCTCTCTCTCTCTCTCTCTCTTTCTGCCTGCCTCTCCATCTACTTGTGATCTCTCTCTGTCAAATAAATAAATAAAATCTTTAAAAAAAAAAAAAAAAGATTTTAACTTATTTGAGAGAGAGAGAGAGTGTAAGTGAGCACGGGGGCGGGGGGCAGGCAGAGAGGGAGAGAGAATCTCAAGGAGACTCCACACTTAGTGCAGAGCCCGACACAGGGCTCGATCTCAAGCTTGATGTCATAACCCTGAAATCCTGACCTGAGCTGAAATTGAATCAGATGCTTAAGCAACTGAGCCACCTAGGCACCCCATAAAATCTTGTTTTCGTCTCAAATTCTGTATAGGCAAAATTCCCTTACATTCCACTAATAGTATTAAAGATAAAATATGTACGAGGTCAATTAACGACCAAAACAATATTGATCATAAGCCTTCACTAATTTATACTAGATGCTATTAACTTAAATTTACAACCCCATTTTGAATAATTTATTTAATTTAATGTAATTTATTTACTTAAATTGTTATGGATCTAAAAGTACATATGCAAATTACTAATTTATAGAAACACTATAATTATGTAATTTTAAAAAGACTTTCAAAACATCTGAAAAACTTGATTTCTTAAAAGAACTGTTTTTAGTGCATAAACAATGAATTTTAGAACATAAAAAAATTAAATTTTTAAAAGAACTGTTTTAGGTCAGCTTACTTTTAACTTCCGCTTAATACGACAAACTTACTTTTAATTAGCTGCTAGATATTATTCATTCAGATATTGTCAACATTTCTTTTCAGCACTCAACATAATGATGGGTTGAATAAACATGGTAGAACTCAGCAACAAATGTAAGGTTTTTTTTAAATTCCCAAGCCTAGGTCACACACAAAAGCACTAAGGATCAAACATAAACATCCACAAGGGAGAGAGCAGAAGCTAACAGGCATTGCAGACTACACTCACACTGTGACTTCAAGATTGAACAGAGCCCTCCAAATTTTAAAAGTTATCTCCATAGTTTTGTAGTTCAGATCTTGCATATACTTTGTTCCATGAACTCAATGTCAGTGCTACTCCTGTGATATATAAGAAAACTCAATGAAAGTAATCAAATACTAAGAATAAGATTTTCATTGCATAGAGTTGAGTTTCGGAGGGCCACAAACCATTATCTAAGACTTTTTCTGCCTTCTGCCCCCCATGAACCAATCTGTGTCTGTTCTGAGACTGTATCACCCTCACTGTGAAAGCATGGAAAGAAAAAAGATAAAAGACTGTATCTTTTGGTAAATACAAGGAACAAATATTAGACTAATGATTTTGAATAAGATACGTCTTTGTTTTTTCCAGTAAGTACATTTTATCATCTATGTAGGTTTTGTTCATTTGTTTGTTTAAATCCAGTGGAATTTTCTTGAACAAGATATCACATTCCTTGAAGATGCTGCAAAAGTGAGGAATTACTATTACTAAGCATACAGTTTCAATACTCATCATCTCTAACAAAGAGAAAATGCAAGGGGAGCAAGCAAAGAGGGATTTTATTGTGGAGAAGTGAGGGGAGAAAAATAGAGTGAGCTAGTTTATTTGCAGTCATAAGTCATAAATCTGATTTTAAACATAAAGACAGTATAATATTTTGATCTAGATATTGCTCCAAGACATTCTGATGTAACTTAAAAATTACAAATATTGTACTTACTCCCATTCTCTTTGTTGATATTCAGAGAGCCAATCAGTTTGCTTTCATTCTCCTGTATCTAAACTTTTATCAGTCTGACATCTGGTTTCTTAACTGCTACTAATCAGAAAAGAATCCATGGCCAGATAAAATTCTTACTTTACACTTAACCGTCAAGTTTTTATTTTCCTGAGGAAAGAAGATGACTACCACAGAAGAAACCAAAGGAGACTTTTGGGAGTGGATATTTGTAGAAGTACTCAAATATAATAATTTAAAGAGGAAAACTTACCCACATTACACAGGGCATTTTTTTTTAAACTATTTCCCAAAGTTCCGTCTTCCTTTGCCATCATATCCTCATTCGAACAACTCTAGAACCACATTATATAACAAACGGTCTGCTATAACTATGCAAGTCAGAGAATGCTCCAACCAAAACTTAATAGTACCTGGCAGAAACTGAACCAAGTAGTTCAGAAGAATTAGTTTTACCTCCAAGCTGGTAAAAGAAATCTTCTGAATATATACACAATAGAAACCAAACTTTTACAGTTGGACATAACTTGCAATATAAGGGGAGAGGTACCCTCAAATCACACATCAGTGAGCACTCATTTGTTAAATATTTAGTAACAAAAGATGACTAGGCAAGATCGGACTTCATCACTCCTACATGAGAATTTATAAAATAACTCTGATAATCTCATATTCTGATCTAGTCAGATCATATAAGAATCCTTACTTATCATTTATTATCAGGATATTTATAAAAATGTATTTGTTTTGAATAAAAATGTAATTAAAAAGAGTAAGGCATACTATTTTTACATCTTTTCCTTCTATAGTCTAGGGGCAAAGCTCTTAAGGAAAAAAACCCAAAATCCTTTTATGTGAACCTGACACCTTCTATATAAGCAAAAAGGAAAAAAATAGTTGAAAAGTCCAAATTTTTTTGAATTTGGGGGACAAGATAGAGGGAGATATACTATCTTCCACGTAGGAAGTGTACAAGCTGACTAAACATTATTTTTTAGAGGATCATTTTAGATGAACATACAATAATTATTAAGATTTGAGGGACAAGTGGAAAATGAGAGCCAAGTTTTATAAAGATTAATTCATGTGAACATATTTACAATGGAATTGGAAAATCCTCAGCTCCTTGGCTAAATTAAAGCAGTCATCTACTGCATCAGTGTGTATTTTCAAGCAAATACAGAAGCAAAACTCATTAGCTCTTTAAAAAATACACACATTTAATGTTGGTCTGTTTTAATTCTAAGTAAAGCAATTCCAAAAATACAAACTGAACATCAGAGCCATGTGGAACCACCATGATAAAATAAAACAGACATTCACAATAATTACGTCTAAAGACAGTTCAGCTTAATAAATCATCTTCCAGGTATACTAAAGAAAGAGTTACTAAAATACTGCTGGTGTTCAGTTAGAATTAAAGGACTTTGGGGAAAATGAAATAATATGATACAGGTGGAGTGAATAAGGTTACACGGGATTTACATTTTCCATTACCCCTAGATATAAACAAACATTCAAAATCAACACAAACTCTGTGTGTTATTCAAAATATTGCAGCTGCAGGAAAGGCAACTTTAAATTAATAGCTAGGGGAAAATCAAGTTTTGGTGGAGGTAAACAGAAGTGACAGTTTTTAATTTGCACTTTTGTAAAGCTCATTTATACCTGGCCAACCAGGAACCAAATGCAGGACAACGAAGTTCTCTGCTTCTTTTGGCTATAATGTGACAAGGAAAGGTCATCTTTTGAAGATGTTTAAAGAAATAAAGCAACTTTCTTTATAAACAGTCAAATAATCAATCAATGGAATAAATAAGTACTAACCCACATTTTTACCGCTCTGTAACCACTACACTTTACATATTTTTCATTTTGGCGGCAAATTCCCCAATTTTTAGGCAAAATCCACCAATCACTTTTAAGAGTAAAATGAATAGCCACCAAAATAAGAATATTCTTCTGTTTACTCTTTGGCTAAAAAAGAAAACAAACAAACAAAACAAAACAAAAAGAAACAGAAGACAACTCTAACACTGGTGATAAAAAAACTGGTTTTTTACATGTAAAATAAAGTTATCAATTTAAATCTTGGTACATTTTATAAAAACAAGAGGTAATGTTGTAATAAAACAGTAGTAGCCTTGTCAGGCACCATACTGTTTGTTAACCCTGTGCAATAAAATACTTTGTTCATACTACACTTATTCAACAAGACTAACAGTTACTACAGACATTTCAGGAATCTTCACGGGACTCCTACAGACTTACTGTTAAAACTGAGAGACATTTACAATCAAATGTGCCATGAAAACTTGAATACGTTACTTCTAGTAGGAGATAATGTTCATATTATTTGAATTGGTTTTAGGTACTGAACAGCTGAGTTACAAGGACTGAAAGTGAAAAGCATTCTAAAAGCCCATGAACACTGTTGTTCACACCCTTCTTCAGAACACACTAAACTTTAAACTTGTCTGACACATTTCTCTTCATACATAGCAAGCAACAGCACCCAATAAAAGCCTGAGAAGAAATGCTGCTGTGTAAATACTGCAACTATTCCTGAAAAAAGAATTATGGGATATATACTCCAAAGCTGCCCATTCCCATAATTTGTATTGCATAGGTCACATAATCACACACATATATATACACACCTGTGTATATATATGCACATGCAAAGAATATATTAAGACGACAATGAAGTCTAGTCACAGAGCAATTTACAGGCTCAATATATTTTTTACACTTTGCTTGAAAGAAAATTTCAATATTTTACAGTCTTTTAGTAGGCATTATATACACTGCACTTTATGAAATCTGAAAGGTATTGAAATAAATTTTTTCCAACATTTTGGCAACAAAACAGACAACGTTTCTCCAAATACTTGTGCTATCTATCTACATGATCTGTTTGATCTGATAACCACTAATCACAAAAACTGACTCAATGGAATAATTAGAAAAATTATCTAACACCATGCATGGATTTGAATCATTTTTAATATCCTATCCTAGAAACATTCTACAAATCTTAAGATTTAAAAAATTAAGTCTCTGTTCTGATTTTTAAAAGATATCTTTTTATGACAATATCCATAACATTGACAGGTACATGTTAAGGCTAGTATCATCTCCTTTTGTGAATTTTTTTGACTTTTTTTTTTTTTTTTTTTAAGAAAGATAGTAAAAGCCAGACTCCTTTATCCTTTAGGGCTTTGAACTGTACCTACAGAAAATGAGAGTGCAGTGAACATAATGTTCAGTCCTACAGTCAGGATGCAGTTGCTCCTTCCCATTCCACAAGATACTGCACCTTTCCATCAAGTGTCACCCGACGAGCCAATACTCGGTATTTTTCACCACATGCTATTCTACCTGCAGCACCAAAATAACTGGTAATGGAGTTTTTTAGATGATTGAGTTGCAACTCCTGATCTGCTAAGTTATTCAAAATCTCTGTGTTGAGTTCATCAAATTGATAATCTTCTTTGCCTTCATCATCTTTTACAATTTCTGAGTTCTGAGTCTGGAGTGCTCTTCTTGGAAGACGACCCCTTCTCCTCCGTAAATGTGGTATTGCAGCAGGCCAAGATCTTCCTGTACGAGTTCTTTTTCTGGAGTCAGATAATCTATGGAACAAGAAAGGTCATTAACTGTCTACTGAGTTTATAAAGCATACCTTGCCCAAACAATATATTCTCAGAATTTTTTTCTATCACTCTACTGTAAGTATATGCCCTTGCTGACATAAAAATCAGCCAAACCAAAACAATACATGCTATTTTTATAAATGGATTATCACTCGCCTTCGTTAGATTCCATCACCTTCTTGGGGCTGACCTTTGAAGAGCTTTTCTTCCTTAACAATGTACTATTAAGCTTAAAAGAATCAGAGGAAGTTTTTAATTACGAGGCCAATGAGACATATTCCTACCAAGAAGAGGCCTATTCATATTAGTCAGATATCGTCAACAGTCTTATCATTAAAAAGAAGACAGTTCATTCACTCATTCAATGCAGTAAATACTTAATAAGCACCTACTTTATATACAACATTGTTCCATGTGCTTAAAAAGATGGTAGAACTAGAATAAATGTTCTCTTATTACCAGTTCTAGGGCTAGTTAAGTAATGTAATGAACTGGAATAAACATAAACTAGAAATCAGGGTACCCTGAATCTAGCTCTATGATATTGGCCAAATTCAAATCTCATATCCTCTGTCTTCTCTTCTGTGAAGAGATCAAGTGAAGGGGTAGAACTAGATCATCTCTGAGGTCTTTTTCGGCTCAGAAATTCAATGATTTTATAACCTTGTAACAAGGGGAGAATATAGCCTAAAAGCTAAATTCAAATATTTTACAATCACACTGCTCAACTCAACATCCCAGCTCTGTTATGCTTGTTAATAAACATGTTAGTCTGGGCTTGTTTCTTAAAACTCTCTCAAGTTTCAGTTTCTTCATCTTTAAAATGGGAGTAACAGGACTTACAACTCAAAAGATTGTTTTAAGAATTAAATAAGACAATGTACAAAGGAAGATTAGCAAAATGCTTGGGTAAAAGGCCAAAACAGTTCACATTATTCTACACAATTCATTAAAAAATAAGTTACATTTTAAGCTCTTTAATACTCTGAATTTTGTATGATTTACATGAGCAATTTCTAAATTGTGGACAAAAATTAAACTAAGGGAAGTATAAAAACTTGCAAGCTCATAGTTCTGACCCCAAGTAAACTATCTTCTCATAACTGACATATCATGCTTTAGTAGAGGTATCCTTCTAAAAAATCAGGTTAACTAAAATATTTGAGAAGTCTGCTACTGATAGAAATCCTGAGTTTAAGATCTTTTTAGTAACAAAAGGATTTGCATGTCTGATTCAGATATTAAAAAAAGGGAAAGTCTTCCTAAAGCAAGGCATACCTAAATATTTTAAGTATAAAAGGTCTCAGGGAAAAGAACATAACCTATAAACACCAGTATACCTCTTTTCTGTGTACACAGAAAATGACCTGATAAATATTAACAACCTAAGGAATCTACATATAGATTGCTTCTTAAACACTCAAAGGCATACTTGTATCACTTTCGAATGCTAAGAATGTATTTAATCATTAAAAAGAAAAGATTATCTAGAAGAAAATTAGTAAGGAATAAGAATATAAAATATCTACCCATAATGCCTGGAAATGCTAGACGAGGTAGTTTCTTTTGCACTGGAAGCACCCGTGAAATCCACATCTGAGGTATTGGATGTATGTGCAGTTCCCTCAGTTCTCCTGAGACAAAAAAATTTAAATGGTATAACGACTATATTACATAACAATAGAAATACTCATTTTCCCCCAAAAGAAAATTCCTAGGATAGGAAAAAATAACTTTCTATTTACCCTATAGGAGAAGGTAAATCCAAGGTAGGATTCTCTGAAATTGATTCCTTATCCTGGAAAATAAAAAATAACATTTAAAGCATGGTTCTAAAGAAATTGGAAAAGATACTCATTTTTCAGTTAATTTCAAGCATCTTTCCTCTCTGAGAACATATATTAACACATCCTCTTACCAAAGGTGGCTCAGCAGTTTTCTGAATCATTTTTCTTGTATATGGACCAGGTGGACGACCTACAGATTTTTTCTTTCCTTTTTTTTCTATGCCATTGCTTACTTCCCTGAAACATAAAACCATTATGTATTTAATCTCTGCATAAAGAAAATAAAAAGACAATGGATAATATACACCCTACTTACATAATAATTAGGTTATACTTATATATTTTTCTATTAATGGTAATATAAAAAATTAAAGTTGAATCTACAAGTTTAGTCAAGAGCATAGATAATACATTTCAATTTAAATATATATTTCTTGACTTAAGAAATATTTACGTATGAAAGGTTTAAGAAAAAGTGTTCTCTTTACTACAATTCTGAAAAATATATAGCATCTTAAAGTTAAAAAGCAAAAACAAAAGCAGACTACTATACTGGATGGAAGATTTTTTAGTTTAGGTTGTTACTATGTGGGTATTTCGGAGATCTTTCAAGAATTTATTACTAAAAGTGATTATGAATTTAATAGTTACCCACGTGGAGCCAGGAAGTATCTATATTAAAATATTTTAGTTATAAACACAGGTTGCCTTTAGAAATGAGTATCTATCTATCTATCTCCTTGAATGATGTTTGTCAGAAAGAGAATGAAGCCCAGGGTGGCAGAGTATAGAGGAAGGAATTCATCCTATCAGGCAGGGAGTCATTCAAAAGACACAATCAGAAAGCTCTAGAAAACCATTTTTGAGACATAAAAGTAAATGTCAAGCAACAGGAAGGGGGAAAAAGCAATAGCCAAGGACATCTCTAATTAACAGAAGGGAAAAAAAGAAAGGACAAATATCAACATACAGAACATCTATTTCATTTATTCAACAAACATTATCTACCATAGAAAAGGGGTATCAGATAATAGGAATACAAAGACCTTCCCTGTGCTAAGGGGTTCGCAGCATAGTTAGAAGTTGACGAAGGTGTATACAAGCAGGCTAATAATAATTCAGTGCTATAAGAAAGTCACCCAGGAAAATTTAATTAAAAAACATGGAAAAGGAGGAATACTACTATATAATAGGCTAGAAAGAGGTGAATGGAGAAAACTAGAAAACAACTACTCCGGACACCAAACTAAAGCTGGGAAAGTAAAAGGAAGGAGAAAGTTGGGGAACTAGAGGAAAAAAGCTTAACTAGCACTATAATCAAAACTCTCAAGGATAAGGTAGATGGGGGTATACATTGTTTTTTTTTTTGAAAGATAACATTTATAGAGGACTCTTGGACTAAAGAAAGTGCTCTCAGATTAAAAGTAGCAATGCATACATAGGACCCAGAAGGAACAGACAATGCCTTTAAAGAAAGCTGAACCATTTCCTGGTGGCATCAAATGAAAACCTGATAGCTAACATAGATGGAGTATCTTATTAATATCATGATAGGAATGAGAAAATTTGTGTAAACCTTTTTTCTAATTCATAAAATGGGCAACTGATAGCAAAGGGTTAATGATAAAAATCTGAAAGTGCTAAGAATAAGTATGCTTTCCTTTAGGGGAAAAAAACTTGAAAGCAGTATCTACTTTATTACAAACTCAAATGGATATGAAACACTGTGTAATTTACCTTTTCTTACTCTCCAAGATGACTGTCTCATACCTTTTATTTGCTCATTAAATTTCCCTCTCTGCACAATCCTCTCAGCCATTCTTTACACCTCAGTATTTCTTTGAGAAAATAGAAGTTACTAAGCAATAACTTCAGTCATCTTCTAAATCTCTAACAGAACTAGCATCTGTAGCCATTTTCACCCAATTTCAACAAAAGGGTGTAAGTCCTATCAAAAGCCATTACCACATTTATGTTCTAAATTCCTTCCCTTTTAGTTTCTCAAGGACTTTATGATATCTTCAATTACCTTCCCTCTCTCTTCTCCACTGGATCATTCCTACTAGTACATAAAGATAGCTTCCAATTAATTTTCCATCTATGAAAAAGCCATCACTTGAGTACTTCCTTCCCCTCTTCAGCTTCCATTTGTCTACCTCTCTTCACAATAAAACTACTTTGGAGTGCTGTTGACACATGCCCTCCCTTTCTACTTTCTCCCTTCTCATTCAGATTTCTTAAAGGTTATTTCCTATTTTCCACTTTTCCTTTATTATCATCATTATTTTGAATCTGCCTATGCCCCTTATTAGTAGAAAAAGCCCAGTTTTGACATGTTAATTGAGCAGTGCTGGATTCAATCATACTTTAACCCACTTCAATCTGACTTCTATTTTTACCTCTCCAAAACAAAACAAAACAAAACAAAAACCCCTGTTTTTGTTAAGGTCACTAATAACAGAATACTATCTTTGGCAATAAATATTTTTCTCTCGTCTTAAATCCACTTCACAGCAGCATTCAATACTGTTTAATACATTCATCTTTCTTGAAACACTTCCCTTTCTCTTGATTTTCAAGACACCAAATTTTCTCAGCTTCCTCCTATCTCATTGATCATTCTTTTTAGTCTCTCTTGTTTATTTCACCTCTTCCAAATCTCCAGATGATAACAGGGTATTATTCTGGGCCACAGTAACTCCCTCCCCATCCCAGCTATTGTTTCCTAGGTAATTTCATCATTTTCATGGCCTTATAAATCAGCTTCCAAATTTGTATCATGTGCCCTGACCTCTCCTGAGGTCAGGAGACTTACAGACTCAGAGGTCTCTATCTAACATCATCATCACTTAGATATCCCTTGTAAAAATCTCAAATTCAATTAGTATGAGACAGAAGAATGCTTCACTCACCTTGCCAAATCTGCTCTTGCAGGGCTTGATAACAGACCTCACCACCCACCAGTTACTCAAGCCAGAAATCTGAGCATTATATAACTTCTTCACTCCTCCATTTTTTTCATAAATTTAATTCATTAGTAAAGTCAATAAATTCTGCCTCCAACAGAGATCGTGAATCTATTTTCTCCCCATTTGACTGATAGCACTACTCAGACAATCTCTCACCTAGACAACTGCAGCAGTCTTTGTTTCCTTTGCTTCTATTCTTACCTTTATACCTATCCATTCTCCAAAGAGCATACAAAGATGTCTTTTTAAAGGATAATTCAGTCTGCTTACATCTTTAAATAGCTCCCCATCATTAAAAACAACCTGAACTCCTTAGGAGACCTACATGACTCTACAAGATCAAGCCCCACCCAAACTTTCCAACACCTGATGCTGCTCTCTAGCCCTCATTCATCCCCTACTAGTCTGTGAGTTCCTAGAACATGCCTCACAGCCTTCATACTTTTTATTTCCACCACCTGCAGTACTCTTCCCTTTGTTCTGCACATTGTTTGGTTAGTCTCATTCTTTGAATTTCAGCTTAAATATAATCTTAAATAAGCCCTCCTTAAGCTTCCTTCTTTAAAAGTAGACTGCTTTACCTATATCCATCCCAGAACAATCTAAACCCATATGCTATGTCCGAGATGGCCTAACATGACCTGTAATTGTTTTGTTTATCACCTTTCCTTCCCACTATACTATTAATACCATCAGGGCAAAAAGAAAGTCAGTCTTGTTATTATATCCCCAGCACTTACATAATAAGATGCTTGATAAATGGAATGAATGGATGGATGGATGGATGGATGGATGAATGAGAAATGAACAAACAAATAAACAGGCCAGTACTTAAGCTGTCTGCTAACAAAATCAACAGGACTTATTCCTGGAAAGCCCAAGATCTAAAATAAATAAATAAACATCTAAATTAAATTAACTCTTTGTACCTTGTCTAAGCAAGAAATTATAAACAGGAAAACAAATCAAGGTAACTACCACTTGTACTTTCAAATATACTAATGAGACTAAATAACACATTTTTAGTTACAAATAAGCTAAAGAGAAAAACTAAGCCACAGATCAACTTTTACCTTGAATCAGATATAGGTTTGGATGCCTTTCTGCCTTTAATTTTAAATTCATGGGATGTTCCTTCAGGTTCTTTCTCTGCTTTGAAAGCCACATTTGGTGGCACAGGAGGAACACGAATTCGCAACCCAAACAAATGCTTCTTCTTCTTTATTTCTTTCCCAGACATAAACCTAAATTTTTAAAAAAATTAACTAAAAATTTAAAAACTGAACACATATACATGGCAGACCCTAACTCATAACTTTCAGATGTAAAGCCTTTATACATGAAAGACCACCCAATACTACAAAACTCGTTCTTTCTCTTTGCTTTCCTTTCCTTGATTCTTATCTGCTCCAGAGCCACTCCACAGTAGGATACAATGGAGGAGTAAGGAGGGAGGGAAAGGATCAGAAGGGAGAAGAGCACATGTCCACTTCTAACTTTTTAAAGGAAGAAGAATAAAGCATGGTCTTTTTAGTCCTAAAATGTGTTTTTCCGTATTTCAGTGTCATCTGTTTAAAAGATCTCAAGAAAGGTTTAGGAAAAGAATTCTATTTCAGAGTGGATCTGTGAGGGGAGAAAGCCGGTCAGAAAGTAACAGCTGTTAGCAGTGGAAAAGGGGACCCAGTATGAGGTCCAAAAAATAAAAGGAGTCTTCAGTGTGTCAGATCCAGAATTGGAAATAACATGGAGCAGGGAAAAGTTATTTCCGTCTGGGTTTAGGTCTCTGAAAAATGTGTTCCATAACTGTTTCCCAAAGTCCTCAGGCTCCTTACTCCAAAACACCTCACCTACCTTAGTTCTACTAGACCCTGCCTAACCTGAGGAACCACACACCAAATTGCTTGGAATATTCTTCCACTGTTAGGCAGGTTTGAGAAATGGGAGCTAATATTTCTATCATAATAGGAATAGATGTATTTCTGGTACCCTAAATTGGATTACAGAATTCACATCCCATAAAGTACTTTTTACCAGTACAGTAACTGCTCAGGCACTTTATGGCTTTTTTAACTGGCCTAAATATCTAGCTAGGCACTAGTATTACAACATTTTTAAGGAGGGAATGCTGTCCAGTTCAAAAGAAGCAACTTGTTAGAAACAAAAATTTTATAAAATAACTCAATGGTTGGTTACAGCCAGCACGAACACTTAAAAATTTTTTTTCTATTGCAATTTTTAAGTTTTTTAAAATGCAGATTTTTTTTAAAAAAAAGGAAAGCCCATACAAGAATATATCAAACAATAACCAATTATCAAAAATTCAGTACTAGTACTACTTTTCTGTAACTGTTGACAATAACTAATCTTAAAATAGAAGATCTCATAATCATTTTAAAACCAATATTCTCTACAGTATTTTCCACTATCGTTTACATTTTCCCACCAGCTAATATTTTATTTTCAGGAGACTGCATTATAAAAACAAGTCATTACTAAATATGTTTTTCAACTGAATAGGCCAAATTCCTAAGATATTGGTATGTCTGCCTCTCAATCACCATTCCCAGAGGATTACTTTTCCCTTCTCCAACCCTTGAGAATCACTGTTTACTCGGACTAAAAAATAGGACATTAAAAAGCTTAAAATGTTTGTACTAGTTCTAAACACCAATCCCACAAACCTTAAACAATGCCATTATTCCTTATACTTACTAAATGTCTCCCTCATAGGGATACACAAAATAAATCAACTTACATGGTCTTGTAATCATTTAATGCCTCCAGAACATGCTCATATCTTTCAGATTTTGGTGTGTCTGCCAGCTGTGAAGTATCAAGAAACAATTTAACGCACTATAATTTCATCAATTAGTAATATACAGGTGCTAGACAGAGGCAATGTGATGCAGAAGAAAAGTGTACTGACTAGTATACTGTCAGAAGATCTAAATTCTAATTCCAGGTCCTCACTGACTAGCTGCATGATCTAAAGCCATTTAACCTCTTAAGGTTTGTTTCTTATCTATAAAAAGGGGAGTAAAAATCCTCCCCTAATTACTTCACTAGTAATTATGTGAATCAAATGATATGGCTGAAAGAACTATAAACTGGAAAATGTTACAAGAATGGAATTTTGTTAGTTATTAAATTTAATTCCATAATCTGAGGAAATAATACATTAGAATGACTTTAATATCAACCATATATTGGATCTAATAGATATTATTAGGGAGGAGTATAAAAAGTAATAAAAACAAAATTTTATTTACCAATAATCTCCATAACTTTGAAAAATTCTGTGAAACTGGCGGGGAGGGGTTGTTTTCAGAAAAGTTACAGACATTAGCCAGCCCTAAAACTCAAAGTGTCTCAGTAATTTTTTATCATCAAAAATCATTTTAAAATCTATTCAATTCTAGAAAGTATTTTTTGGTTTCAAAAGGGTTTCCTCAAGAGTCATTTCTGCCTCTTCTTCCAAGTTTAAAGACTAGGGCCCAATAGCAAAAAATTCTAAATTCTTAAAAAAGGACCATTCTCAGTTAAAACCACAAAAACTTAAAAAAATAAATAAATCTAGAATATCATAGCTGACTTCCAAGAGTACCACCAGTATGTCTTTATCAATTTATCAAAGCTCAGAATTGCTTCAAGTAAGAAGAGTAAATAAATCTGTCAGATAGAATGTTAGAGGCAGAAGAGATTTACAGAGTCATCTACTCCAACTCTCTTTATTTTATAGATTAGTTAACAGTTATAAAGGTTAAATGAAATGCTCAAATTCAATGGCTGGTTAGTGAAAGAGCTAAAATTCTGAACCCAAATGACAAGAAGTCCATTCATTCAACATTCACTAACAGCCCAAACTGTGCTAATGCACTGGGTGATTTTAGGAATTAAGAAAAGAAATGGGACAGTCTCGTGGTCATGCCTCTATACCCTATTACTTCCTCCTACTGTAATTTCTGCAGTGTTCAATGAAAGAGAATTTCTATTAAAAAAGAAATAACACAACAGACATTAAAGCCTGAAGGACACTTTCAGTGTCCATGTAATTCAAAGTTCCATCAACACTGCAGTCCCTTTTATAGTACTGATAGGTATTCAACCTTGGTTTAAATACTAGCAATGATGAAAGCTGATGAGGCACCCACTAAGGAAGCCCATTTCACAGGTGGACAAATCTTCCCTCCTGGAACTCTTCCAGTCCTCTCTTACAAGACAGTTCTTCAAATATTTGATAGTAGCTATCATGTCTAAGTATAAGATGCCTAAGTTTAAGAGTAGGTTGAAAGTTTTTAGCAACCACATTGGCTAATTTCATCTCTTCCTCATCCCCACCTCCTCACCTGAACTCTAAAATCTTATCAGATAAACTGATCAAATCAAGTATTCGCTATCAACCACTACTTCTTCTGAACTGGCTGGATGTGTATTTAAGCCTAAGAGCAGAACTTATTTGTAACTATTGTTAATTTGTTTTGTTTTCAGGTCAGTGTTTGAGATAACCTTTTCTCTTGATTCTGTCATCCTTCTTAAAATTAGAGGTAGACACAAAGACAGACACAAAGACAGAATCCTGTGGCTCTTCATTACAATCTCCCTCAAGAGTATTTCCAAGCCACTGAAAGCTTCTGTTTCTATAATTCCAACTGGTTACATATCCATTTTTTACTTTTAATTTTAACCAGTTCGAATTTTAGTATCTAATATGGAATTCAGTTACACTATGTTTATACTATACCTATAGCATTTGACTTACCAGTGTGGCTAACCATATAAAAAGGGGGGGGGTATTTAATATGATTTATTCTAATAAAATAGTGTTTTTCCTTGTAGCTTTTTAAATCTTCACAAACCACACATTTGAAAAATGTACTCTACAATCTTGCTGACAATCAACAACAAAACTATTTCTCAAATCTATTCCTCTCTTACTTTTTAAAAAGCACAATGAACTCTCTCTTTCTTTTGGTACTTGCTCTCTATGGTTTCTCAGAAATTTTATCTGTAAGTTCCTTCAGCACTCCAAAACTACTTTCCATAGAACTATATATATTTCAACTTGCATTATGGGGCCAAGGAATCTCTTTGTGCATTTTGAAGACCCAAAGTACAGACATTATAGTTCAAATCAAATAATCTGTATTAAAACAGCACCATATTCTAAATCTACCATCTGATCATGAGGTTTGTAATACTGCTAACATAATAACCATTTTCGTTCCTCCCACCACAGACACTAATCTCACATTATACTTTGACTCTCAGGGTTGTATATTTCTGTATAGATGTAAATGCTATCAGGTATAGTTATAGCTCTTCCTTTCAATAAAATATACCTTTGAATTACCAATATTGAATTCCATGCCGCCTAGGCTTAAGTATGCAAAACAGGGTTAAGTAATTTGTTTGCCAACCTATACAGCTATATGTTAATACAAAACACTCAGAGCCTCAAGTATTGTTGTTAATCATATTTCTTATAATTTTCATTTAAAAATATTATACCACCTCAATTATACATTTTTTTCTCTAGCCAAAACATCATATCTGCTATAGTATTTCATTTAAGTTTATGACTTTCTCCCTACATCCTTCAAAAGGTAGCACTCAATATACTACTCTGCTATGAATCTTTGGGGGCTGAAATTTAAGATTACCATTAACAGAAAAGTAGGCTGCCCTTATAAAACTAGGATTTCAGATCACATTAGGAATTAAGGACAAATAATAATAAGTAGATTCTGAAGTATGAATATTTCTTTTTAACTCTCAAAACCAACCTGGTACAACAGTTATTTCCTCATTCTAAACAAAAACCCTTAAGCAACCTTTATTTGGATCTCAAATGTTGCATTATATATTTTTACAATCTCAAAAAAAAATTACAAAACAACAGTTTCTCAAATAGCTCATTCAGTCTATATAAGGCACAAAGTCTCAAAGATGTAAAAGAAAACAAAAATCACATAAGAAAACAGGATATAGAACTATCACTATGTTCCAATATGTTCTAAAAGTTTCAGCTGCTCTTCAATCCTGAAATAACCAACAAAGAAAAGAAATATACATAAATGGTAAATTTGCCTTCAAATATTTTTGAAACTTCTTGTTATAAAAGAAGTCATAACATTTCCTCTATATCAAAAAACAAAAGCACAAAACACTAAAAGGATACCACTGATTCAATTAAGATTGCTCGAAGTAATTAGAAATTGAAATAAGTATTTACAGGACTTCCAAAATAATATAGAAATACTACGAAATTTTGGCCAGTGTTATCATATATTAAATTAAGTCCTAATTCAGCTCAGAAAATAAATGTAAGTACCTCCCTGTGACTAATGGGTCCATATATATTCCTAAACAAAAAGCCATAAAACTCTCAATCAACTTCTCAAGTCATCACAAGATTTTTTTCCTTTACCCACATGGAGGAAAAAAACTCCACATTTAAGAGAGAGTTAAATCACAACCATTTTTTTGTTTGTTTGTTTCATTCTGAGGAGAACCTTCTAGACCAAGTGCCTATGTCATATAATCGATAGTATTTATAGTAAGAACCAGTGTTCAAAAGACAATACACTTAACATGCAGTATTTCCCGTATTTTTTTAAGTAATTAAACCTATCTTATAAAAAGATTTTTTTAACACAAAAGTATTTATAAACAAAAAGAAAGTTTCGTAAAACTAAATCTGGATTAGTGACAAAACTCAATTTGCAATTCAATTTCAATTAACCAAAGATACACTACTTTAATAATCTGGAATAATCCACTATTTGTATTATTTTCGTTTCTATTATCGCAAACATTTAAAAGTAAACTAAGTGAAAATTAGTTACATATAATGTTACAAATAAATGTTGAGGCAGGCATAAATTTTATGGTCTTTTTATTATTAAAATCGTACTCTCAAAATCAATCATAACATTATAAAGATATAAAAGATTAATACAGAGAGTTAAAAGCTGAACTTTCATCTCTAAATGTATGAGGATGGAATGACTAAGTCTGAATATTTTGGTTTGTTTTTTTTTTTTAATGCAGAGAAAAGGCAAAGGGAAATGATTAGAAAGTCACTTGTTCTGAAAATATACTTGATGGCTCCAAAAAATGGAAACACTCCCCAGAAAAGTAAGCTTTTCCATTGTAAAGTTTTATTAGAGTATAATGTTCTTTTTTAAATTTAAAAAATTTCCATATTGGCAAAGAATAAGAAATTGAATTGAATGAATGTCTTATTTCTAAGACATCATCACATAAGCTACAGAAAATGAAAACATGTATCTACTAATAAATTTTTTGATATGTATCAGAAGTATAGCTAGAACTAAAATACCTGAGATTCATAAACTGAATTAATTACTTAGACTAACTGTCTAGACTAATAGTCTAATTGTGATTTTTGTTTTCTATTTTCAGCATCTTAAATAAAATCTAGGTATCATTTTTCATTTTAATAAAAGAAAGCATTTGAAATAAAGTAACATGAGTTTTTATATGTGTGCCCACTGTCTACACGAAGTAATTACTACAGAATTTAATCATGTGAAACATAAAATGTACTAAGAATAGAGATGTATCTGCATATGAAGTGCTGAAGGAACCATGGTTAGAAACAAAGCATTTTAAAAAGAATATATTAAAGTATTAAATATTAAAGATGACTATAATGAACCATATAGCCACTAGTGCCTTATACTTACTTTTTTCTTTCATTACTAATCATTACTATTACTATTACCATTACTATTACTATTATTACTAATCATTTACTATTAAAATTTATCAACTCTGTAAGACACTGGTTTTCTCTCAAATTTCATCTGGAAAAAACATGTAACAGAAAAGAATGTTGTGTTCCAACTTCTAACACTCAAAACATCTTAGCTCAATTAATTTTAATAATATCTTTTACTTAAAAAAATCAAAGTATCCTGCAAGTGTTTGTTTTATAATTCGCACAACTGACCTACCACAAACTAGCTTTTAAATGTGCATTATGTTCTCCCCGATGCCCCATAAAACCCCCAAAACAACTCAAAACACCCTGATGTCTTATTTGACATGAACCATTTATAAACTGCCCCATGTCTAAAAGCTACAAAAGTAAAAATTCTTCCTAAACTTTAGTTTACACAACTTTTACCTCTTCCAAAAGTAATGTGCGACTAAAATTCACACATCTGATTCCACATATTATAAAACAAAATTTTTGGGGCGCCTGGGTGGCTCAGTGGATTGGGCCGCTGCCTTCGGCTCAGGTCATGATCTCAGGGTCCTGGGATCGAGCCCCGCATCGGGCTCTCTGCTCAGCAGGGAGCCTGCTTCCCTTCCTCTCTCTTTGCCTGCCTCTCTGCCTACTTGTGATCTCTCTGTCAAATAAATAAAATCTTTAAAAAAAAAAAATTTTTTTATTTAAGCTAAGAGTAGTTAGGGGTGCCTGGGTGGCTCAGCCCCTTAAGCATCTGACTCTTCAGGTTATGATCTCAGGTTTGTGAGACAGAGCCCCAGGGTCAGGCTCCATGCTGGGTGTGGAGCATGCTTACGATTCTCCCTCTCCCTTTGCCCCACCCCAGCACTCCCACCCTCTCTAAACGAAAAACAAAACAAAACAAAAAATAAAACATTAAGCTAAGAGTAGTTAATATCTAGATTTTAATAATTCAAAATAAATCCTTAAAACAGGTTAACTACTAAAGTTACTTTAGTTATTTTCTTCTTTGTATCTTCTTTGTGCTTGTCTATGGTTTCAAAATCTTCAAAGAACATGCATTAACTTTTACATTGCTTTTTTTTTAAAGACTCTGTAAACCAGCATAAGTGGTTAGACTTTGCAAATGAAAAGCAAAATGAGATGTCATGAGGGGGATAATCTCCAACTAGAATAGCTTTACTCCCTAACACATTGCTCTAACACTATTACTGGGTGCCCCCCATTCCTGGAAGTCAAAGATTATATACAAGGGAGTACCAACAAGAGAGGAAGGAAGAGTGTTGGTTGTATCTCTTAAATCTATAGAAACTTAGAAAAACAGGAGGAGGAAACATAAGTAAGATACACAATAATAAGAATTTCAATAAGGATTTCTCCCTCCCTTCTATCCTTAACTATAATGATTCTCACTTCAGAAAATGTGAAAATCAAATAATTTACTTCCTCCTTCTACATTTTTCCCTGAGTCAACAGGCAATAAACAGGAAGAGAGGGCTGGCCCTGATATCATTAGAGTTACTTCTCCCTGAACTAAAATTAAAATTTTATTTTAGATGTATAACTTATACATTTATCTTAGTTGTTTTTTAACAGAAACAAAACAAAAATTGACATCAAGTAGCTAATAAAGTTAGCTCTAAGACCACCTACCTCTCCAGGATGCAATCTATCCCAGTTTTCATTAATGTATGTCATAAGCTCAAGTTCAGAATCAAAGTATTTCTTCTTGTGAATAACACTTAGGTTGTAAAGGCATAGGTGTGCTATATCTACCCTGGAATCCAAAAATAATCACAATATACAAAAGCAATGTTTTTGGTTATTAAGAAATCACATTTTAAAAAATAAAAACAGCAATTAAAAAATCCAAACTGAAGTATATAGGTAAGCAGAGGGTCAATAGCATAAGTTATAATCACAATGTTAATAAATTACATATGAAAATAATTGGAAAACATTAATTAAATACTTGCTTATACTGAGTAGTAAACATAAACTAAAAGGAATTTGAGTAATTTCTTAAGATGCATTCAAAGAGGAAGTAACTATATTAGAAAAAATAACTCATAATAAAAATATCTACATTTCACTTATATATAAGCCATAGAACAGCTCATATTTTAACAGACTTTATCTGAGTCATGAGTTAAATCTTATCTTTTCCTAAAATACATAAAACATTTAATAAAAATTTCTAAGTACTGGGGCACCTGGGTGGCTCAGTAGTTAAGCATCTGCTTTCGGCTCAGGTCATGATCCCAGGGTCTTGGGATGGAGCCTCACATCAGGACCCCTGCTCAGCAGGGAGTCTAATTCTTCCTCTCCCACTCCCCTTGCTTATATTCCTTCTCTTGCTGTCTCTCTCCCTCTCTATCAAATAAATAAATAAATAAAATCTTTAAAAAAAAAAAAAACACAAAATTAAAAAAAATTTCTAAGTACTTACTATAAGCATTTTATCAGAAATCTCCCAAAATTCATCACACTTCCCATACCCAAGAATTACACTAAAGCAGAAACCAGCATATTTCGTATAAGACCTCTCTCTTCTGCCGTATGCTATTCTGAAGGCCAAAAGAATTAAAAACATGAATAAGAATTTTGAAAATCTAAGAGGTATGTGAAGCTACGTTCTATGCATTAGAAAATAAATGGCCTTATTATTTCAGCAATAAAACTAGATAATCTTTACTGAAATGACATCAGGTTTAAGGATAAATAAAAGAAAGCCAGGCATAAAGAAAAGCAAATTTTTATTTAAACCAAGTTAACATATTCAGAAACATTTCATCCTGTAGGTTTAAGAATATGGCCCTTTATTATTCCTTAACAGAAATGTCCATACTTACCACTGTAATGGTAGACGTTTGAGGTATTCTGGTCCAGAACTGCAGACAGAGCAAATAAATGTATAAAACCTAAGGAAAAAAGAGAAGTTGCATACTGAATAATCAAAGGTATACATAAATTATTCAACAATTAAAGCTAATATTCAGCAAGTACATATCCTACAAAAGATAAGCGATACACAAAGCAAAATATAATCTGAATTATGACACTGTGATTTAAAGTTTTTCAGTAACGACAAATAATGAAATAGTTCATATATGGGGGGCAAAAGCAATTTTTTCTTTAACCCATTAGACATTCAGAGTTCACACATAGGTTCATACACAGGTACAGTTTACTAATGTCTTGTGTGTACCATGAACTGTGATGGCAGCCCCCATATACAGTGTTATACTCAATGCTTTAAACAATCTGGTAACATAAAAGAAGATAAGCTGCTCTTCCTAAATTCTGAAAGACAGTAAGCAGCATAAGCCAACATTTAAACCCAGGTTTTTTATGCCAAGTTCAGTGCTATTTTATTTTTCTTCCTAGAGCTCTCTGCTATTCCAAATTCTCCCAATCCAGAAAGCAGATTAGGGTCTGCTTTTGTTAATTCTTTAGATCGAGGAGGGTGTAAATTTTGTATCAAGGTTCTGTAGCCTTTTCCAATTTTCTGTCACAGGATCCCTTTGAGGTTTTTAAAAGGAAGGTACCAATGGGAATAGTTTAGAGTATTGTGGGGCAATAGGGGCAAATACAATCACTGATCAAATACTTAAAACTATTCTGGATTAACACCTAAAACCACAAAAATTATGTGTATTTTAAAACTGTGCATAATTTAAGTCTATCATTCAGTATTTTCCCTCTAAAGTGACTCCTTCACAAATTATTTGTAATTACATTTAGAAATCTGAAACTGTAAACATAACTACAGTATAAAAGCTAAAAAAAAAAAAAGTATCAATTGGTAAAGTTCAAGTGGCCTTCTTACCTATCTCCAAATAGCATTGGCTTTTGCAGGCATTGCACACAAGCCTCATGAAACCACTGCTTACATTTGCAGCATTGTAACATCTTTAAATACCAGCTATAAGAAAAAAAGTTAAGATTAAAATTACTACTTTTCCAGGTAAAGTTTTAAAAACAAAGCAAAACAAAATCTAGTGGCATTATACAAAATATAGTCATGATTAACCGTAACATTTCTGCTATATTTAACACGAAAATTTTTCTTTCCCAAAAGGCTACTGGTGATTCCACCCCTCCTTTCTAATCCACAAGAATTTATAAAGACTGGTTCCTAGACTAGTGAAGAATCTGTGCCAAAGAACAAACCCAGGATTTTTTTTTTTCACACTGACTCTCCACATCTCCTAAGGGAGATTAGTTCAGAGGTTACTGACATGCACAGCTGTTTGCCCAATATACCCAATAGTCACAGGCAGCTTTGTATCTTCACAGTGTTTCCATTATTCCTTTCCAGTATAATGAAAAGCAATGTAAAATAACACCTTTATATATAAATTTGGTTAACATAATTATAAATCTAATCAAAGACTCTACCAGATATAAAGGCTTTGTGACAGGTTTTGTTATTTTTCAGATAGCTGAAGAAGCTAAAACTGAATCTCTATCTAGGGATATCCTCTCTTTTCAGCTGGTATGTGGTTTTGATGTAATATCCTTACTGGCCACCCAAATAATGCCTTTTCTTCCAATAATTATTTTGCTCAAAAAGTCAGTCCCCCATTCACTATAAGCCATATACAGTCAAAGGAATGAAGACTGATATTAAGTAAGGTTATTAGTCATTCATCAAAAGACTAAAAAATGCTAATTATGTTCCAGATACGTAGCTAGGTCCTCTACTAAAGTCAGAGTGGCTAACAGTATCAAACACAGTTCACATGGTCATGGGACTTCAAGAATAATGAATGATCCACTTCATAAAATGTCTATGATGGCTTCCACCTATTTTGAGTAATACTTTAAACCAAATGCTAGGTATAAATGAGTAAAGGAAAAGATCATTCTCTATGTTTATTCACTGTATCTCTTTTTTATAAGTGATTAAAGAAACTAGACAAATGTTTCTTAAATCTGCAGGTGACCAAAAACTAAGAATTGTTATAAAAAGGTTAAGTCACAAATAAAAAATTCCATTAAGAATTAGAGATTAGGAAGAATGAAGAGCTAAAAACTCATTCATCTATACATTCATTTATTTATGTTTCATCAAGAACTTATGTCCCAGTCATGGTAAAGTTTTACAGACATTTCCTGTAATGCATTTGAACAGATACTATGTTAATGATAATGACTGCCCCTTAATGACATTTAATGACAATGACTAACCCAGGATTCTCCTAAACAGCACACTTGCTGGGATGCCTGAGTGGCTCAGTTGGTTAAGTGTCTGATTTTGGCTCAGTTCATGATCTCGGGGTCCTTGGATTGAGCCTGGAGTCTGGCTCCCCACTCGTTTGTCCCTCTCCTTTTGCCCCTCCCCCAGCTCATGCTCTCACTTTTTCTCTCTCAAATAAATAAAATCTTTAAAAAATAAATAGCACTTGTCTTAAGAGAAGCAGAGTCTGAGAGGAAGAAGGACAAAAGAAACCAATAATTACAATTAAAGAGTAAAATATGATTCACTACCATTTTTTTAAATGTAGTACAAATACATGATGCACAACTTGGCTTAATATGAGCTTATACAAAAAAAAAAAAAGGAGGAATTAGAGGTATAAGTTGACCACCACTTATTTTCTTTTTTTTTTTTCACTTATTTTCTTTATTGACACTTTCATGCATTTACAATTCATTATCATTTCCACATCACAATCAATAACAAAAATAAAAAAGATAATATAAACAAAAATCACGTAAAGGGCATGAAATAACTATTTACTTACTCTCCAGGGCCTCCACAATAGCAATAACATTGCTGGACATTGGTTTTATGACCTGCATCCCATTCAAGGTCTGCCACACTATAGGGCAATGTCTGCTTCATGACTTGCAATGCTTTGGCATTTGGTCCTTTCTTAAGCGCACCACCCCTCTATATTAGAGGTAAAAAGTTATTTGAACGAATGAAGAATAAAATCTTAAATACAGTTCCTTAACATAAAATGCTTCTGAAACTTCTGAAGAAACTTCCATTCTAAATTTCTTACCACAACACAAACTGTTTGACTAATAATAATCTTTATTTATTTTGTTGTCTTTCAAATTATTGCCCCAATTTCAAGACCACTCACTATCAGAAAATAAGTGCAAGGATAGCTGTAAGTCACTTAAGCACCATTAGTCAAACAATAAGCCTCACCTCTTTCTACCCAGCATTGACTGCTCATTTCAGTCACATAAACTTTCAATGTACACAATCATTACGTTGAGAGTGCCTTACAAACTCCATTTAGGGCTTTAGCCCAAAACACTTAAAAGATACCTTTGTTGTTGTTGCAAAAACACACTGTCGACAGAGCCATTTTTCATCTGAATCAATCACACTGGAATCAATATGAGGTGTGTGACACAACTGATGATATCCTTAATATCAAAAAAAGCATAAAGCAAATTCTATTTTATTAATAAATACGGCAACACAATTTCAAGAAGGCATTTTTAGTACTCTTCTCCTACATTAATATATTTACAATTGATGAATAAATTTATGATAAAAGCTTCAAGTTATCGATATAAAATACTTTTAATCATTAATCTTCAACAGGAGCATTAAGTATGTAATAAACTTTTCCACAAGATTAAAAGAAATCAATGTTTACCTTGGCCACACTTATCACATATAACCATTTCATTGGGAGCTTCTGAATACTCTTCTTGACATATTGTACAGACCATTTCCCCACTTCCAGTGGCTCCTAAAATATTTAAAATATACATTAAAAGACAGTCATAATAAAGAAGTATTTCATATAACAAAACTACTTTTTGACTCTGCGGGTAGCCTGTATTGGCAATGTTTATTCACTGAATCATAATGATTTCTTCTCAAGGCAAAATTACTATCCACAAAATGCTATCTCTATGCAACATGTTTCCCTCCCACCTTTAACTTAACATACCTAACTACCTACATTGATAATTTAACCTGTTTTTACAGCAGATGGCATAATTTTACCTGCTCTCAGGCAAGATCCTTTATTCACTTCTAACACTTATACTCCCCTGGGGGACAAGGAAATGCGATGTTTTGTAAACACTAGAATTACTCTCCAGAATACACATCTACCTACCTATATACATGTATTCACTCACCCTACACCATCTACCATCATGAGACTAAAGAAAAAGGGCCAAGAAGATATGTCAATGACTTCTTTCTCTCTGGATTCAGCACATTTCTTTTTATTTACTGACTGACATGAAAGAAGCTGAACTCCAATTATTTAATCTCAAGCTTCAGAAATCTGGAAATATGGTGTCTAATAAAGGATCCTAACAAAATCTCAGGCCACAAAAGTTTTTTTTTTTACCTTAATAGGTAAATCAATACTTATTAATTAATAATAATACTTAATTATAATAGGTAAAATAATTTTATCTTAATAGGTAAATTAAAATTATATTTTTACCTTAATAGGTAAATTGTTTCTTCTTTAGGCATTTTTATTCTAATAACAATTTTATTCCACAAAATTTAGAATATGATTTTAATACTCTAACATCATTATTTCCAATATTCTCTTCTCCTCAATTTCATAGTTAAACTACATGGTGTATTCATATGCCAATAACAATCAAAATATACCATTCTGTGCTGTTAGCCAAGTATCATTAAGCTCTTGACATATATTACTTTGCTTAGTTCTATAGGTATCTTATTATTAGATAGAGGAACTGTGGCTCAGAAAGATAAAGTAACTAACCCAAGGATCCTCAGAAAGTATCAAGGCTAGGATTCAAATCCAGATATGCCAGAGTCCATATTCTCTCCAATCTGAGATCCTTCCTTTCATCAATATTTTAGAATATTTTTTCTACCAAAAGTACCGCTCACACTGCTATTTTCAAAATTATAATTTCCTTTTTTTAGTTTTATTTATTTATTTATTTATTTGACAGAGAGAATATCACAAGTAGATAGAGCAGCAGGCAGAGAGAGGAGGAAGCAGGTTCCCCGCTGAGCAGAGAGCCTGATGTGGGGCTCACTCCCAGGAGCTGAAGGCAGAGGCTTAACCCACTGAGCCACCCAGGCGCCCCCAAAATTATAATTTCTAACAGCTACATAATATTCTATCCAGTAGAAATAACCAAATTTACTTTATTACACCTCTACTCTTATGTAAGTTACCAAATTTTTTGTTTGTTCACTTTTTAAAAAAATATTTATCTGTCAGAGAGAGAGAGAGAATACAAGCAGGCAGAGTGGGCAGGCAGAGGAGAAGAGAGAAGCAGGCTCCCTGCCCAGTAAGGAGCCCAATGCTGGCGGGACTCAATCCCAGAACCCTGGGATCATGACCTGAGTCAAAAGCATCGGCTTAACCATGAGCCGCCCAGGCATCCCTGTTTGTTCACTTTTTGCATCTTTCCTTGTTTATTGTGATCTCTTGCTCTCTCCCTACCTCTCCCAGGCTTTGTTTACTTCCTTGTACCCTTGGAAGGAAACAGCCTCCATAGGTTCTGAGTTTATGGCTCTGTTCAGGAGAGAAACCCCACTGAGCCTGACACCTCTCACTTCAAATCAGCATTTCCCTGAAAAAGGACCAATGGCCCCAGGTTTTATCTTATACATATCAGGTTTTTGTTGTTGTTAAAATAAAACTACAGTAAATGTTTTCCACTAGCATTTTCACTTTTGAATTATTTCTTCTGAATAAACTGCTAGAACTGACTGTGCAGTATCAATTAAAGAATATAAAACATTAATGCAACCGTTAAAGTAATACCCAAAATAAAACTATTTTCACAGAAACCATATTAGGTGTTAAAATTTAAAATCCTTGGGGTGCCTGGGTGGCTCAGTGGGTTAAAGCCTCTGCCCTCAGCTCAGGTCATGATCTCAGGGTCCTGAGATCAAGCCCCGCATAGGGCTCTCTGCTCAGCAGGGAGCCTGCTTCCCACCCCCCCCCACCACCTGCTTCTCTACCTACTTGTGATCTCTGTCAAATAAATAAATAAAATCTTTAAAAAAATTTTTTTTAAATCCTTTTAAATGTATTTGTTTTAACCTATCTCCCTTTTGTGATGCACATTTCTTTGACTACTAATATAACTCTCTCTATATTTTTCCTTATTTACATAAACTTTTAAAAATAATCTTATTAGGGACGCCTAGGTAGCTCAGTCAGTTAAGCGTCTGCCTTTGGCTCAGGTCATGAACTCAGAGTCCTGGGATCAAGTCCCACATTGGGCTCCTGCTCAGTGGAGAGCCTGCTTTTCCGTCTGCCTGCCACTCCCCCTTCTTTGTGCTCTCTCTGACAAAATCTTTTTTAAAAAATTATCTTATTAGATGGACGAAATTAGTCCAATTTATTAAGTCATTACGATACATATCTATTATTAGCAGGCTTCTTATAGGAAGAAAATTACTAAAGCTACACTCCACACTGAAATCTGCCATAATGCAGTATTCAGTTTCACTTCCTCATTCTAAAGCAACTCCAACTACATGTGCGCTATTTTCTGGGTGCTAGAAAGAGTTAAACAGTGGTGCAGTCAGTTAAGTTTAGGACTCTTGGTTTTGACTCAGGTCATAATCTCAGGATAGTGGAACTGAGTTCTGCACAGGGCTCTGTGCTCAGTACAGACTCCACTTGAGCTTCTCTCTCACTTTTCCTCTGCCCCTTTCCCCCATGCATGCGACACTCACTCTTTCTCTCAAATAAATAAATAAATAAATCTTAAGGGGGAAAAAAAAGAGTTAAATAGCCAAGGAGCAATTCTTTTTTCTTTTCAGTTCTAGGACAATAAAAAACGACAGTGAGCCAAAACAATCACAGAGCTCTAAACTGATATACTGGGTAGAACACTCATTGGACAGTACCCTTCACTTTCACAACTTTAAAAAAAAAATTTATTTATTTATTTGAGAGAGAGAGAAAGAGAGAAAGATAAAGTGAAAGAGAGCATGAGAGGGGAGAAGGTCAGAGGGAGAAGCAGACTACCCTCGGGGCTGGGAGCCTGATGCGGGACTCGATCCCGGGACTCGATCCCGGGACTCGATCCCAGGACTCCAGGATCATGACCTGAGCCAAAGGCGTTGCTTAACCAACTGAGCCACCCAAGTGCCCACACTTCCACAACTTTCTATATGTACTACAGGCTTTCTTCTTCCTGTCTGAAAGGAAGAAATGGATAGAGGGAGGAGGGAGGGAAGGAAACAAATATATCTATAACCTGCAAGAACCCTGAAAAGTTGAAAGAGACTCATAACTAATAGGGGAACAGAAGCAGTGTAACATGTTTCAGTCCTACCACAAAGAAAGATCCATGTTTACAAACTAATAATAATTCATACATTAATTCTGTATGCAGGGTAACAAGATCTGCTCAATACAACTACTGTTAGAGATCTCCTAATCTTTCTCCTATCCCTCTTCTCACGGATTCCTCAATTTCAGATTTAAAACATAATTTCAGAACTTTAAAGTGATCAATCCCAAGAACTATGAAGTTTCTCTTGAAAGACATATTACTATCAAGTAAGAGCTATCAACTTCCCCACTTAAGCCCCAATTACCAACTATGCACATGGTAATTAGATCATTCTAATTCTTTAACCAAAACTTCCTTATTCTTTAAAAAATTTAAGAATGAAATCAAGAAATAAAAAAAATTTAAGAATGAAATAAAAAATTAAGAATGAAATCAAGAAACAGAACACAGTAGTAACCTACCATAGAGTTCCACTGGGGATTCAAATTAAAAACCCAATCACCAAATACTTTAGAAAAGTATCCACCCTTTAGAGAAAGAAAATTTGTATCTCCTTGATATGAAACACAGGTCTTAGCACAGGTCTCTTAACTCAATTAAAAAAAAAAAAAGTTGGGCTTTGGTGTGCAGCTAAAATACTCAAATTTTTAGTACTCGTAATTAATAAATCACTTTTCACAAGAAAAATACCTGGGAACAACATCCTTATTTAGCAGATTCAAAGGGTATACAGTAATCATAGAAATTATTACAGTAATAAAAGAGAAAGCATTATAAAAAACATACCTATAACCAAACCAAGGCATACCTGTATTCACTTTTACTTGCACACAAATAAGCCTCATTTTCCCATCCAAATTTAAAACCCCTAATTAGATGGTCATTTCAAATCATTCTTATTGATGAATACTTCTAGTATCCTAAACCTGTTTAATATGTCCTAATATCCCCCAAATCATCCAGCAAATAGTATGTTCTCAATAAATACTAGGTCTCTACATTACTTTTACTAATATAAGCAAGTAACAGTTAAGTTGAAGCCCAAAGTGTTACTCATATTAGTGGTTAAAAATTTTTCTTCAAAATTATTAGATGGGCCCTAAAAATAGTTCATAGATATACACCACTGACATATCTGTTCTTTAGTCTACCTCTATTCTAACTGAGAATAATTCCTGTTCTTCTAGGGTTTATAACAGATTATAACTCCTTGAGGACTATGAAGAACACATATCCTCAAAAGTGATTCTGAGTTACCTTAATATGCTGTACTCAACAAAAAACACTAGAAAGTGACAGCCTAAAAAGAAAATCAAATTTTAGTGTAAATCATGTTCAAGAGAAATAGTAGCACCTGCCTGTTTGAATGTCCTTCCAGAGAACCCAGGATTTAGAACTGTCTTCAAATATGATGAAGCAGCTCTGTTTCAATATGTTTATCTGAAATATAGAGGAATATTTATGGTGATTTTTTTGTAAGTTAAAAACATTAAGTTAAACTCAGAATTATTAAAAATTTACTGCAAAAAAAAAAAAAAGACATATAAAGGTAAAACTTGCCTTTTTGATAGTTCCAAGATAAAACAAGCCATCTGACCATCTAGCTAGGACATCCTGACCCTCTTCAAATTTACATGCTGGCTTTTTGACTTTATGTCCATCCTGTAAAGACAGCTTGGTCAAGGATGTTGGGGTCTTTTGGTTTCGACGTAAAGGAGACCGCTTGTGGACCAGTGAATTACCTGCCCCTGTAGAGTCTCTGATTAGGAATAAAAGACAATATATAAGATTAACTTACTTAAAGAGCTTATTTATACACCAATGATATGTTTTATATATTAATAAAAAATTTTGATTTATTAAAAAAAAACCTTAAATTGGGAGAAAATTTAATAGGTACCTCAAAACACAAATACTCTATGGAATAAGTAACTTTAAAGAAAATGATAGTTGTTCTCAAAATTCATTCAATGCCTACCCTTACTGAGACAAGGATTCAGCAACCACTCTAAGATCACACATTCACAGCACCTAGTATCAAAATAACAGCTCTAAGCTGAAGTGGGTAAGCCATGGTCATCAGCAAAGGATGCCTTAAATCTCATGACTGGGTTTAGATAAACTAAAAAGAAGTTACATGGCACAATTTCATAAGCACATGAAAAAGAATAAAAATAATTATGCCACACATAGTGAAAACACACTAACCAGTGACTTTGGGGTAGTTGAGTATATTCAACTCATTGGAAGAGTAGTCATGACCTCCTTAAGTGAACCACCACTGAATTAAGTCGTTTACTGATGGGAATGTGTCTCAAGTCCCTAAAATATAAAGACTAGGAGTTTAATAAAATTTAGAAACACCATTTGTACAAAATCATACTCAAATGAGAGGTATAACAACATTTATATATATATTTTTAAAGATTTTATTTACTTATTTGACACAGAGAGATCACAAGTAGACAGAGAGGCAGGCAGAGAGAGAAAGGGAAGCAGGCTCCCCGCTGAGCAGAGAGCCCGATGCAGGACTCGATCCCAGGACCCTGAGATCATGACCTGAGCCAAAGGCAGCGGCTTAACCCACTGAGCTACCCAGGCGCCCCAACATTTATATTTTTTAAGCAAAAGACCCCAAAATTATGTATTCCAAAATTATATTATTATTCATATATTAGTAATTCCATAAACAGCATAGCATAACTACCACCAACTTTTTCTCAAAGGTAACAAAGCACTGTTTGGTTTCATTTTCTTAACTTAAGATGCTTTACTAATTAAACACACAGGAATGTATAAAACTAGACAGACAATAATTCAAAAGTAGATAGTATAAAAGTTAAGTAAAAATAAAATAAGTGGGGGAGAAAAAAAATTGTTTCAATACCTAGGAATTGGGACTACCTAATTTCAATACCTAAGAATACACAAATTCTAGGAAATTCTAACATGAGCTTCAACATAAATAAACCTTGAAGATACTAGGCTAAGCAAAAGAAACCAGACCAATAAAAGAATAAATATTGTATAATCCCACTTACATGACATAACCAGAGTATCAAACTCATAGACACACAGGGCAGAATGGTGGCTGCCTAGGGCCAGGAGGAGGTCAGTATGCAGAGTTAGTGTTTAAGGGGTAGTAGAGTTTCAGTTTGAAAGACACACTACATTTTTTTCTCTTCAAGTTTTTATTTACATTCCAATTTTAGTTAGTTAACATACAGTATAATGTTACGTTCAGGTGTGGAATTTAGTGCTTCATCACATACATATAATAACCACTTCACAAAAAGTGCCCTCCTTAATGCCTATCATCTATTTAACCCATCCCCCCACCCACCTCCTCTCTAGTAATGAAAGACATACTACATTTTAAAGATATCCAAAGGAATAATGATTGATTATCTTTCCGAAGTTGCTGAAAACCATTAATTACACATCCAAGAAGCTCAACAAACTCCAAGTAGGACAAATGTCAAAGTGACTTATACCCAGAAATACCACAGTAAAAATGCTGAAAGAAAGAAAAATAACTCATTATGTACAAGGAAACCCCAATAAGATTAACTTCTCATCAGAAACAATGAAGGCCAAAAGGCAGCAAGATCCTACACTCAAAGTGCTAAAAGAAAAAACTATCAACGTTATACCCAGCAAAACTGTCAATCTTATTATCCAGCAAAACTGCCATTCAAAAATGAAAGCAAAATAATTAATCTAGGATAAACAAAACTGAGAGAATTTGTTGCTAGCACAGCCACCTTACAAGAAATACTAAAGGAAGTTCTTAATAAGGTTGAAAGCCAGTAAGCCAACAGAAATATAAATCAACACACACACACACACACACACACCGTGATAAAGGTAATTAAGTAATTATAAAAAAACAGTATAAATGCATACTTCTTCTAACTCAAATATATGGAACAATATGTGTATAACTGAATTATAAGGCCTATAACATATCTGGTAATAACAGCACAAAGGAGGTGGTGGGAACAAAATTGTATTCACGTAAAGAAATGATACCAGATAGTTACATCAACCCATAGGAACAAATGAAGAAAACCAAAAATGGTAAGTAAGAAAGTAAATGCAAGTGAAGTATGTCACTTCAAGGATCTGGCAAACACCCATCTTAGTCACTGTTTCAAGTAAAAATGGTATTCTGGGCGCCTGGGTGGCTCAGTGGGTTAAGCTGCTGCCTTCGGCTCAGGTCGTGATCTCAGGGTCCTGGGATCGAGTCCTGCATCGGGCTCTCTGCTCAGCGGGGAGCCTGCTTCCCTCTCTCTCTCTCTGCCTGCCTCTCTCTCTACTTGTGATCTCTGTCAAATAAATAAAATCTTAAAAATAAAAAGGTATTCCATGAAAAAGCTGTTACTAAAAACAATGACAAATATCCTATCTATACTTAATATTTCATCACACATGACATTATTAAAACTCAGGGGCGCCTGGATGGCTCAGTCAGTTAAGCAACTGTCCAGGCTCCCTGCCCAGGAGGCTGTGTCTTCCTCTGTCCCTCCCCTGCTCATGCTCTCTCCCTCAAATAAAAAAATAAAAATTTTTAAAAATATATGAACTCAAAATTAGGTAAAAACAATTTTCAGTGTTTCATCAGGAATGTTCTTACATGAAAGAGGGTTTTCTGTATATGCATGCATTTTGGTGGGGTTTGGGTTGGTTTGTTTTTTTACTATGAGTGCTCAACAATGAAGAATACTGCCTTGTTTCATGCTAAGGTGCACAGCAGTTTGACCAAACATCATTTTCATGCACTCTGTACAGACATCGACACAATGAGAAAGACAAATAACATCTAAGTATTATGAAAATAATTCTGACCTTTCAGACTCCTACAAGGATTCATGGATCACACTGTGGGAACCATGCTCTAGGAGAACATATGTTGCCATATATCTAAATAAAGGGAATGTGTCTGCCATGGACAGCTGTAATGAAAAGGCATTTAGTAGGATCAGGGGTTAAAAGTCTGACAAGAGGGGCGCCTGGGTGGCTCAGTGGGTTAAAGCCTCTGCCTTCCGCTCAGGTCATGGTCCCAGGGTCCTGGGATCGAGCCCCATGTCCGGCCCTCTGCTCGGCGGGGAGCCTGCTTCCCCCTCTCTATCTCTCTCTGCCTGCCTCTCTGCCTGCTTATGATCTCTGTCTGTCAAATAAATAAATAAAATCTTTTAAAAAAAAGTCTGACAAGATGAGTGCTAGAGAGAAGTAAAAATGGAGAATGAATCTACCATTAACTTTACCAACAGGAGTGTTCAATGCCAGGCTAAGGACCTTCTTTCTAAGAATCTTCTTAGAAGGTTAGAATGCATTCTTAGAATGCCTTCATCACAACATTAAAATGATTCTATCAGCAAGCACTTTCTGGAAAACTATAAATTTCACTTGAGGGATTTTGCGTTCCTTAAAGAAACTAACCAAAACCTAAGCAACATAATTAATTATAGGTGAAAAATGACTTCAACAGAATGCCAAGGTGGCTACTGACTAGAACCTTCCAAATCTAGACTGGAAAATGTACAAAAATCAAAACTGAAAACATTCCTAGATTGGTTTTGTATGCTATGCTATTGCTTCAACAAATTCTCTTTTTCATGACAGCCTCCCATCTTACTCTCTTAAAATGTTGTAAGGATCTTTGAGAAAAAAGAGAAAACTAAAATTCCGTGCTCCCTGCTCCCTTTCACCACTCCTATTTCTTTCCTCCCATTCACAGCCAAACCTTTGGAGGAAATTTATACACTCTTAACTCTATTACTATAGTCTTTCCCATTTACTCTTCAGCCCATAGCAACACACATACCATTCCCTCACCCAAACACTTCACCCAAAACAGGATTGTCTGTCTTACTCTTTTTTCTTTTTTAATTAACATACAATGTATTATTTGCCTCAGGGGTATAGGTCTGTGAATCATCGGTCTTACACAATTCACAGCACTTACCATAGCACATACCCTCCCCAATGTCCATAACCCAGCCATCCTATCCCTCCCCCCAACCTCCCAGACATCTGTCTTACTCTTATTCACAGCTGTATCCTCAATGCTCTGCATAGGGCATGATACATAAAAGGCAGAAAGGTTATATGGAACTTATAAACTTCAAGCTCAATTCAAGAAAAATCTATATTTAAAGAGTGAAATTAATTCTAAAAATGACTGCATGTACAAATAGTCTGTTTTGTTCCGAATAAACAATAGACTCTAATTCACCTACAACAAATACATACCAATCTTTATTCACATAAACATGAAGAATATAAATCATATATAAAACTGCATTAATGGGTATTTATAAACAGTATTATCCTTTTAAAAATTTCCGTCCAAAGAAACTTTACCAAAAAATAAAGCAAATGACCCGTAATAGCATAACTCAAACATAACCAAGATAAACACTGTATATTTATCCCCTTCCAAGGTAATTTCTCCCATTACTGTCACTGATTACTTCCCTCCTCTCTAGAATGTGACCTTTATTAGAAGCCAAATTAGTTTTTCTAATTTTAGAATTTATTATTTCCCTTCTGATTAAAGGTAAACATAAGATAGTAAAATAATACAGAAAGAGTGAAAAGTGAAAATTCCCCATCATACTTTCTTCCACAAAAGAACTGTTAATCTCCTGACTTTTCTTTTGTATATACCACATACACAGACATAATTCACATAAAATGTTTTAATTTAAAGAGTGGAATATTACATATACTGTTCTCTAACTTCTTCATATAATA